GATGGGATGGATGGATGATGGGATGGATGGGTGGGTGGATGATGGGATGGATGGATGTGTGGATGATGGGATGGATGGATGATGGGATGGATGGATGGATGGATGATGGGATGGATGTGGGTGGGTGGGTGATGGGATGGATGGATGGATGGATGGGTGGATGATGGGATGGATGGATGGATGATGGGATGGATGGATGGATGGATGGACAGAAAGACTGGTGGATAAACAGAGATGTGTGGCACTGAGCTGTCCCTAATTCTTACTCAGTGCCAGATTCACTCAGTGTCCTAAATTTTCAGTCATCCTGGGGCCCAATCAGCCCTTCTTTTGCCCTCTGTACATGTTCCTGTTGAATGGGAGCCTTCACTGCACTTGCCTCTGTTACACTTAATCTTGGTTTTGGTGGACAGGGCACCACCTTGCTCACTGTTGATCTCATGATTTGCATCTTCCAGGTACCTTGACACAGGCCATCCGTAATTTTGCCAAGAGCTTAGAAGGCTGGTTGACAAACGCCATGAGTGACTTTCCCCAGCAAGTCATCCAGACGAAGGTAACCTATCACCTTGGCCAGGGGCAGCATCTGGGCTCCCACATACGGCTGGTCGACCTTTCTTCCAAGGCTCCCCTGGGTGGACTCAAGCCTTCAACCTGTGGGTTACCTGCAGAGTGTGTTAACCGTTTATACCATCCGGGGACTCTGAGTCCCTCATCTGCCCCCTACAATTTGGAATTAATCTGTTAGGCCAGTGACTCTCGAACGTGCATATGCATAAGAACAATCAAAACCAAAAAGACCCACTGCCATTGAGTCCATTCTGATTCGTAGTCACCCTGGAGGACAGAATAGAAATGACCCATGGGGTTTCCAAGGCTATAATCTTTATGGAAGCAGACTGCCTCATCTTTTGCCACAGAGCAGCTAGTGGGTTTGAACCAGCGACCTGTCAGTTAGGAGCCATGTACTTAACCACTGCACCACCAGGATTCCTATGAATCACCTAGGTAGATTTTAAAATTGCACATTCCCGGGCTACACCCCAAAGAGTGATCCTGCAGGTTCGGGGTGAAGCCCAGGAATCTGGGTTTGAACGGCCACTCCAGAGGGCCAGAGAAAGGCTAGCAGTGGGGCACAGCTGCACTGCCCTGAATCCTAATCCCCTGGGGCTGTGGGCGTCTTCCATAGACTAGCGCCTGTTGCCTTGGTGGGTCTGTATCTTACGCTTCGGGTCCTTAACAGTATCAGAAAGGTGGGGTTTCTCCTTCCCGCTCTTTCCCCCTGCAATCTCCCTGAGCCCACTGTGCCCCGCAGCCTGGCCTCCCATGGACCTGCCATGTCCTTTCCTGCAGGTCGGCGTGGTCAGTGCCTTCGCCCAGACTCTGCGCAGATACACGTCACTCAACCACCTCGCGCAGGCGGCCCGGGCCGTGCTACAGAACACGTCGCAGATAAACCAGATGCTCAGCGACCTCAACCGTGTGGACTTTGCCAACGTGCAGGTGACTTTCTCGAGTCCCCACGGGTGGCTGAGGAGTGGGATGAGGCACGGGGCTCGAGCCACAGAGCAGAGGTGGCACGCGTGCACCCCGACCTGTGCTCTGGGGGTCTGAGGCTCCCACCCCCACAGCACTTGGCCCATGGCAAAGCCTCGTGCCTAGCACAGGCGAGGCTGGAGTTCCTCTTGAGTGAATCACTTAGAAGAATGACCTCTGTCTTGAAAAGACATAGCCGTAAATACATGTATGTTGTTGGCTACCGTCGAGTCAGCCCCAGATCCGGATGATCCCACACACGATGTGGCACACTGCTGCTGGTCCGGCGCCATCCCCATGACCGGTTGCAGATGGCGCTGGTGCGAGCCGTAGGGTTTTCATGGGCTGACTGCCAGGCCTTTCTTCGTACTGTCTTAGTCTGGACGTTCCCTGAAACCTGTGCAGCCTCCACAGACGTGAGTGGGGGCTCCGCATGAGGCGCACTGAGCAGGAACTGAACCCAGGTCTCCTGTGGAAGCTGGGAATTCTGCTCCTGAACCTCCGCTGCCCGTAGGCCCTAGGAGCCGAGGTCCTCAGGCTCCCGGTCCTGGTGTGTGGGGCCAGGAGCAGCAGGCTGTAACACAGCTCGGCTCACAGCTGGCAGGCAGAGCACACGTGAGCTCAGCGTGGCGTGGGAGCTCGGCGCCCGGGAGGCAGCCGCAGTGGGGCGGGCGGAGGGCGGCCGTGTGGGTCCCATGGCCCATCGTGACGGCCACCGCGTGCCGCAGGAGCAAGCCTCGTGGGTGTGCCAGTGTGAAGAGAGCGTGGTGCAGCAGCTGGAGCAGGATTTCAAGCTGACGCTGCAGCAGCAGAGCTCCCTGGACCAGTGGGCCAGCTGGCTGGACAACGTGGTCACCCAGGTGCTGAAGCAGCACGCCGGCAGCCCCAGCTTCCCCAAGGCCGCCCGGCAGTTCCTGCTGAAGTGGTCCTTCTACAGGTAAGGCCCGGCTCTCCCAGCGGGGCTTCCCAGCGGGGCTTCCCAGCGGGGCTTCCCAGCGGGGCAGCACAGGAGTTTGAGGTCAGCCGCCTGCCTCTCAGCTGCTGAGCCTGGAGAAACCCAGGGCTCCGCTAGCCTGGGCACCGCTGGCCTGGGGCACCACTTGGTGGTGGTGTTGTGAGCTGCCGTCTAGTCAGCTCCAACCCATGATGACACCACGCCCAACAGGACAAAACGCTGTCCAGTCCTGCACCGTCCCCACGCTCGGTTGTGGATGGCACTATTACGGACGTTGGGGTTTTCACTGGCTGATATTCTAGAAGTCCACCTCAGTCTGGAAGCTCTGCTGGAACTTCTTTGGTATCCTAGCAACACACAAGCCCCCACTGATGAATGGTGGTGCAATGAGGTATGTGGCCAGGAACTGACCCAGGTCTGCTGCATGCTGCGGCGGTTCTACAGGTGAGCCACCAGGGGCAGCAGCGAAGCTCCTGCAAGCAATTGCCTACCTGTGGGCCTCATTCCTGGACACCAGGGCTCCCCAGTGGCAGGCCCAGAGACTACCTGTAGCCTAGAACTAGGTTGCAGGCCTCCTGGGGACAGACATCATCGTTGAGGACCCTGGTGACACAGGGCAGCTTGAGCACCACATGAATTTCTACTCCCCACCAAAGGCCAAAAACGCCAGCCTGCTGCCATCGAGTCAGCCCCGACTCACAGTGACCCCGAATGCGTCAGAGTAAGCTGTGCCCCCTAAGATTGTCGGTGGCTGATTTTTCGGAAGGAGACCACCAAGCCTTTCTCCCAACCCACTAACCTTTCAATTACCAGCTAAGCACAAACCCCTGGTACTGCCCAGGGGCCTCTACAGTAACAGCAGGGCAAGTTGTTCTTACAGTAAAGCCTGCGAAAGCCAGAAACCTGTCAGAAGGAAAACGCAAATGTTCTCCACTCAAATGAGCCACTGGTGAGTGGTGGGCCTGCACCCTGTCCAAGGTGACTTGCGAGACCCAGACAAACAGGGTGGCCCGTTGGAGTTCCGGTGCTCTCACAGGTTTCATGGGAATGTATTGAGATGGAACTCTCCTAACGTGTTGAGAACCATTTCCAAATAAACAAGTCAGTGGCCTCAGCACAGTCACAGTACAACCAACACCTCTGTCTAGTTCCAGAACATTCTCAGCTTTTGTAAAGGGGGATTTTAAAAGGCGTAAACCCCCAAGGACAAGGAGCAGGAGGGCGGAGGGCAGCGGATGAGAGATGAGAGCAACGGCTGGAAAATACGCAGCAGCAAAAGGACCGTGGTGACCCGCCCAGCACAGCAGAGACTGCAAGCCCCATCCTCTGCTGGGATGGCAGAGGCACTCACCGCCCACCCAGGGCCCGCCCACACGCCGCACTGCCCCGCCCGCCCAGGGCCCGCCCACACGCCGCACTGCCCCGCCCACCCAGGGCCCGCCCACACGCCGCACTGCCTTGCGCCAACAGAGTGTGAAAGTAGAAAGGGAACCAAGAGATGTACAGAGTGGAGTAGTATTATTACTCAGCCACAAAGAGCAATGAAGTCCTGATACAGGCCACAACACGAAACATTATACTGAGTGAAAGAAGTCGGGTCCAGAAGGACAAACACCGTAGGATCCCACTTACATGAGCCATCTCCTTGTTAACGCTGTTTGTGCGGTGATGCAGACTCATGGAGACCCATGTGTGCGGAGGAAGACCGTGCCGCACAGGGTTTTCAAAGCTGTGGTCTTTCACAAGCAGATTGCCAGCCCTGTGTTCCGAGGTGCCGCTGGGTGGGTTCAAACTGCCAGCCTTTGGGCCAATAGTTGAGTGCGTAACCGTTCATGTCACCCAGCATTGCCTATGAAACATCCAGGCTAGGTAAGTGTACAGACATCAGAGTTGGTTCATGGTCACCAGGGACGGGAGGCGGGGAGGGGTCGAGAGACTCAATGCTTAGGGGACACTGAGCTGTTAATGGCGATGGTTGAACACCACAACGAACGTATTTAATGTCACTGAATTGCCCATGTGAAGACGCTGAAATGGGTCACATGGTTTGTTCCACGTATATTGACTACACCTGAAAAAGAAGAAGAAATTAAACCACGGGCCGGATGCCAGGGGTTGTGGCCTGAAAGTGGGGTATTGCACAGACCTCTAGAGACTGACTGAATAGAGACAACCGCAGCACCCACCCCGCCAATGCTGGTGGGCGGTGCTTGGAGACTCCACCCCTTAGAGAAAAGGCCCGTGGGTCCTGGGAGTTGGGATCCTGCAGGAAAACTCGGGGCTCACACAGTGAGCGTTAGGGCTTCCACAGAGGGACACAGTGCAACCCCTCACATGCGCTAAACACCTGGAGACTCGCAGGCGGGTGTCTGGCTGGCAAGGGGCCGGATCTCTCTTACAGCTGCCTACCTGTACTAGAAGGAGGTCTGGTGGAATAGTGGGTAAGGCCTTTGGCTGCTGACCAGAAGGTTGGCGGTTTGAACCCCACTAGCTGCTCCACAGGAGACAGATGAGGCACTCTCCTTCCTCAAAGATTTACAGCCCTGGAAAGCCAATGGGGAGCCCTGTGAGTCAGAATCGACTCAATGGCCACGGCTTTGTTTGGTTTTTTACTTGTAGTGTTTGTTATGGAGCTCTAGCTCCCAGAGTTTACACACACCCGGGCCTGAAACAGTTAAAATAATCCACTCAACTGATTGGGCATCTGCTCTCCTGCCTGCCTCTGGCTGGCCCCAGGCTGCAGTTTGCCAACCCATGCTTTAGAGGAAAGAGATGTAAGCACCTGAAGTTCTCTGTTTTGAGGTACCCCAGAGCACTGCCTCTGAGGAGGGAAGGGAGGAGGGCTCCCAGGGCCTATGGGGCAGCAGGCGACGCAGCTTACTGAAGGCGGCAGGGGAGGGGCTGTGGGCCAGCTTCCAGTCTTGTCTCTAAGTGGGGGTGTTTCTGCAAGAACCCAGCTCTTTAGGCTGTGCTGAGAGAATTCTTGTTGATGTTTTCAAGTGGCCAGTTTCTATAAGGCTGACTGCCCCATCCCCTGTGCCCTCCCTGGTAAAGAGTTGGCAGCCCTGTCCCCACCTGACAGAGGTCTTGGCAGTGGGAGGGCCTCATAAGCCAGGCGGTTCTAAGGACCTCACAGGCAGGCCAGCTTCCCAGACGACCCGAGGGGCACAGAGCCCAACAGTAACGTTGCCAGATTGCCATGGCCCCGTCTCAGCCCGTCCGCCTCCTCAGCTCCATGGTGATCCGGGACCTGACCCTGCGCAGCGCCGCCAGCTTCGGTTCCTTCCACCTGATCCGCCTGCTCTACGACGAGTACATGTTCTACCTGGTCGAGCACCGCGTCGCAGAGGCCACGGGAGAGACGCCCATCGCGGTCATGGGAGAGGTGAGGCCCTTCCCAGCCCACGGACCCCAGGAGGCTGGGGGGAGTCAGGGCTGGGCCTGTGGGGGTGGGAGGCACTCCAGTACAGGGGCTTGGCACACGGACCCTGGAGCATGAACAGAGGGGATGCCCAAAGGAAGAGCGCTGGCAGGAGGCCAGTGAGTGGGAAAAGCCAGCATTCCTGAACCCATCAGACCCAGGGTCCAGTCCCCGATCCCCTAAAGGAGGCTGTGTGTGTGACAAAACATGCCACTTTGACCATCTTCAAGCACACGGTTCAGTGGCATCGAGTACATTCACAACGTGGTGTAACCAAGAGCACTGTCTGGTTCCAGAATATTCCCTTCCCCACCCATTAGCAGCAGTCCTCATTCTCTCCTCCTCCAAGCCCCAGGCAACCACTAATCCACTTCGTCTCCATGGATCTGCCTCTTCTGGACTTTGCATAGAAATGCAGTCTTGCGCTCTGGCCTTTTGTGCTTGACTGCTTTCATGCAGCATCATGTTTTCAGGGTTTACACATGTTCCCGCCTGTGTCAGAACTGCATTCCTTTTTCCGGCTGGATAACTTTCCACTGTGTGAACAGACCTCATTCTCTTAATCTGTTCATCTGTTGATGGGCAATTGGGCTGTGTCCACCCTTTGGCTGTTGTGACCAGTGCTGCTGGGAACTTTGGAGCATGAGTGTCTGTCTGAGAATCCACTTCACATCCTTTGGGCACATGCCCAGGAGCGGAATTGCTGGGTCATGAGGGGTTGTTTGGAGGAATAAATGAGGTGATGCTTTTCAAGTGAGCCCTCCTCAGCAGCCATAGCACTCCAAAAGGGCAGTGAGCAGAGCCCTACAATCGGCCCTGATGCTGTGGGGAGATGTGCTTGTGCCCAGACACCGGCATGACTACTGGGCCCCGGAGGGAGACCCGGGAGTGGAGGTGACTCCCACCCCAACACACACACACACACACACACAGTCAGCCAGACTCAGCCATACCCAGGGGGTCCTCGTCACCAGCTCCTTGTGGCCTTGGCTGCCCTCAGCAGTCGGCACCCCTGGAAAAGAGAATCAGGGGGCCCCGCAGGCACTTACCAGCGTCCAAACCATTTCTAAGTAGCAGAACCCAAATCACATGCCAAAGATTAGAAGGTCCCCGTGATGGAGGACATTGCTGAAGGGGCAGTTCCGCTGACACTCTCGGAGCCCCTGGAAACCAACCACCAGCCCTCTATGGCCTCCTGAACTCAGCCTTCTCTCTTTCAGTTCAACGACCTTGCCTCACTGTCACTGGCGCTGCTCGACAAAGGTGGGTGTGTCCCGGCTCCGCCGGGGGTTACACTGCGGGTTTGGGCCTGGCTTTCCTGTCTTGTAATAAGCAGGTGGACTCTCTCATGGTGCAAATGGGTACCACACTCAGCCACTAACTGAAAGGGTAGAGGTTCATGCCCCGCCCCCGAGGTGCATTGGAAGAAAGGCCCAGTCATCTACTTCCAAAAAGGCTCCCACTAGAAACCCTCTGGAGCAGTTCTGTGACACACATGAGGTCCTGTGACTCAGCACCGACTGGATAGCAGCTGGTTAATAAGCTGGTGGAAACCAGCCCGGCCCTGAGGCTGGGTGAAAGGTGCTGGGGAGCTGGCCCCAGGTCAGCAGGGGGCGCGTGCTTCCGCCACACGGGCTGCAGCAGGGACAAGGAGGTGGCTCCGCCCTCCCTCTTCCCCAGGCTCCTGCTCATGTTTCATCAAGCTCCCCAAGCCCCCACTCTGGGAGAGGACCCTGCTGCTGCAAGGTGGGGAGGGGAGAGGTGGGCAGTGGGTCCAGGAGGCTCCTGCCCCATGTGATGTGTGATCGGAGGACTGTCCTCTGGTCCTGCCACAGAGGGCGGGACCCCAGCAGCCCCAGCCCTGCATGCACCGAGGGCCTGCTGCAGGCGGGAGGTTCTGAGGACAAAGGCCCCTTGACATTGTCCAGCAGGGACATTTGGGTGAAAGGCCAGCAAGGGAGGACAGGGCCACGAGGCCAGATCCCCAGGCAGGGTCCCTGAGACTACGGGGCCCTGTCTGCAGCCCCGCCTGCCCCACAGCCTTCTCACTTGAGGGGTGCGGCTCTGAACCTGTGCTTCTCTCTCGCTCCTCCCGTCCCCCAACGCGGACCCTGCAGATGACATTGGCGATGACCGGGGAGGTGAGCCCCACGTGGACACTCACAGCCTGGGCGAGCCCCTGGTGAAGCGTGAGCGCAGCGACCCCAACCATGCCCTCCAGGGCATCTAGCGCCGGGCCTCAGGCTTCCAGAAAGTCCTGGCCTGCGAGCCCGCGGCCCAGCCTCCACCACCACAGTGCCTCTAGACCGTGCAGTGCCGACTCTGATACCACATGGCCACAGACTCGAGATTCTCCAGGAAGGAGGGCCCTGTCATCTCGGTGAAGCTCATGTTGTCAGCCCCTGCGTGTCACCAGGCTGTGTCTGTGGGGTCTCAGGAGGGCGGGCTGTGCCTTGGAAGCTCACTGCACACACACCAGGGGCTCGCTCGTGCTCGGCATGTGCCTGCTGCAGGTCCCAGTCCCCCACGTAGCGCCTTCAAAGGCTGGGCCAGTTGATGTTTCTGGGTTCGCTCCTCCTCCACACAGCTGGCCCGGGTGTCCACCATGACTCCAAGGAAGGGAACGTCAGGTGCAGCCGCGAGAGGACAGCCGCTTCCTCTTCTCGTCCTGCTGCTCTGGGCAGGCACTGAGCGTGCGGCTTCCATGGAGTTCTCCCCTGGGGACGGAGCCGTGGCCGTCACCACCTCGACCCCCCACAGCCTTCCTTCCGTGGCCCGTCTGTGCCTTCTGACTCACCACCACGCTCTCAAGCTCCAGACGCACGTTGCACAGCAGATGCCAAAGGTCTAGGGAAGCAGCTGCCATTGTCCCCGTGTCCCCAGACACATCTGCAGCCACAGCCCCACATGGCTCTGAGAACAGCCACAGAAGCAGAGCCCATGTGTGCCAGGACACAGAGGCATCTGGAGAAAATCAAAACCAGATGTTTTATCAGCAGCAGGAAGAATTTGGGGTTTTGTCCAAGTTCACTGTCAACATCATCAAGCAGAGCGGCTGGGTCTGGAATGCGTTTGTTCCCTGTGTGTTCGGAGTGGCCAGGGGCCGGGCGGTCAGAGGCACCACCCTGTCACGTCTGTCAGTAAGACAGCAGCACCCGTCTACCACTCTGCAGAATCTTCCAGACTGCCTGCCTTTGACTCCACAATCCTGGAGCCGTCTGGACCCAGCCAGGCAAGTCCCATCTTGAGCTGCTCAAATCAAACAGATACCAAGGACTTCGAGTGCCCTGACCTGTAGCGCTGGGTTTTCATCGGGCTGTGACACTCGTCCGCTGCACTGGGTCAGCTCTGTTCCGAGCCAGCTGCAGAGGAGAGAGACACACCACTGGTCTCAAAAGCACCATCAAAAGAAATGTAATAGTTGTGCTTTCTGGAAATATGTTTATTCCAATAGTTTTGTGCTCTAATGGTTATTAGAACGTTTCTTACAAACACGTGTACTACAGCGTATTGGGCCCCAGATACATTTTTCTCATTCAGACAGGTACTAATGTAACTCACGTGGCCTCTTAGAACCTCCCAGAACAACGTGGGTGCACTGTGCTCGTCCAGGCCTGGGCCCAGGGTCAGGGAGAGGGAAGGGGAGGAAGAGAAAGATCCCGGTTTATCTTAGAATCAAAAAACTCCATGAGGATCTCACTGTTGGGGCTTCCAGTCAAGGCTTACATGACGTCAGACAGAAAGAATGTTTGTAAAGCCCTCCCTCCGTCCTGCGCTGGGCGACTTTGGTGCTCACTGTTGATAGACTGTAATGACCTGGCTTTTCTCCCGCACATGGAAACCAGTGCAGGCGGGCCTTCTGCCTTAAGCACTTTCTGCTCCTTTGCAGGCTCCCACAGGAGGATTATAAATGACAGCAAAGCACACAGCCTTCCGTTCTTGTGTCTCGTGGCAGTGAGCGCATCGAATGTGCCCATCTTGGGAGTCACCCTCCACACCCCAGCCCCGGCCCACCCCCATGATGCGCCGGGAGGGGGCAGCCCTCAGCTGGCCAGCCCCCCTTCCCAAGGCAGTCAGCCTGCCCAGCTCTGGCCCCTGAGGCCACAGCCACTAAGCCACTCTCCCCTCTCTTCATAGCTGCCACAGCTGCTGTTCTAGAACCTTCCAGAATGAATGGTGCACCCCCATTAACAAGACCAGCCCTTGAGCCCATGAGGACAGAAAGGCACGTCCTTGTCCAGGGTGGTTGATACCTCATCCAAAAACAGACTAGACCGGTTCAGAGCTGCAGAGTAAGTGATGTTCCAGACCTGATGGAGCCCACTGCCTTGTTCGCGGGGCGTGTTTGGTCCACCAGATGGCGCCAGGTCTCCGTTTCCTTAAGGACCAGCCCATAGCTTTGTTTGAAAACTGCCAGTCCCTGGCGCCATCCTCAGAGAGCCTGCCTATGTGGGACTGAGGTGAAGGCCAGGGACCTCAGTGCAGCAGCCACCATTTTCAGGGACATTGGGGGGACGCTGAAGAAACCCCACAAAGGTGAGTGCCTGGCTCAGGAACTGGGAAGGACCCGCAGGGAAGAGAATGTTCCCGAGAGGTGGGACACAGTTCCCGGGCAGCTGCACCTGCAGGCTGCTTCTCGGGTGCATCCAGTGCCCCATTGTTGTTGTTGTTGTTGTTGTTATGAGCCTTCGAGTCGGCCCCAACTCATAGCAGCCCCTCCTTGAGTTTCCGAGGTAGTATCACTATGGAAGTAGGATTGCCCAACCTTCCTTCCGAGGAGTGGCTGGTGGGTTTGAGCCGCCAGCCTTCTGGTTAGCAGTCAAGTGCCTTAGGCACTACGCTACCAGAGCTCCCCCAGTGCCCCATAGCACCCCACAGATGCTTTGCTTTGGCCCTGCCCAGCTCCCTCTGTCCCAGGCAGAGGGCTGGGCCCCGGGAGACACAGTGGTCAGCCATCTCTGGGTTGCTGCCACGCTCCGCTGTGGCCATCTTGAAACTCTTAACAATTTCCAAACAAAGGGCCCTGCACTTTTATGTTACACTGTTGTTGTTGTTGTTGTTGTTTGCCGTCGAGTCGGCCCCGACTCATAGCGGCCCCTCCTTGGGTTTCCGAGGCAGTATCACTACGGAAGTAGGATTGCCCAACCTTCCTTCCAAGGAGTGGCTGGTGGGTTTGAACCGCCAGCCATCTGGTGAGCAGTCAAGTGCCTTAGGCACCATGCTACCAGAGCTCCCTTATATTACACTGGGTCCCCCAAATTATGTGGCCAGTCCTAGGGCATTCCAAGAACTCTGCTGCCAGGCCTCTTGGAGAGGGGCTCAGGCCAACTCTGTGCAGATTTCCAGCCCAGCTCTGGGAATCAGGGATCCTCCAAGCCCATCCTCACTGCTCACCATCTCAGCCCTCCTTGCTCTGGGGGCCTCTGAGCCAAACTGAACAGCAGGCAGCAGCGGCCTCCAGCCCTCACCCACTAAGGTGCAGGCCCAGTCCCGGGCCCATGGCCTCTAGCACCCCCTCTGGCCCTGCCAGCAACTGCAGCAGCAGTAGGAGACCCAGCACCTGCCCAAGGGGTGGGTGAGCAAATAGAGACTCGTGAGAACAGTGAAGGCCTAGAGCTGGAGACAGACAGAGGGAGAGGGCCCACTCGGAGCCACAGCTTCAAGTCCCTCAGAGCCTTCTGGGCTCTGGGACATGGGCACCTTCAAAACAAGGAGTACCCTGTCCCACCAAGAGCCTTGAGGGGGTACTGATGGAAATCACACCAGCTTCTGTGCTAGACCTCGTGTCCTGTCACCCCAGCTTTTATTATGATTATTGTTATTGAAAGTATACACAGCAAGGCATGCTCCACTTCGACAGGTTCTCCAGGACAAGTCAGTGACGCTCTTCAAGTGGTGCCACCGTCCTCACTTCCTGTCCCTCCCCCATGAACATGAACTCACTGCCCCCTTACCTTCCCATCTAACCCTTTGAGTTGATGATGTCAATTTGATCCCATAAAGATAGTTCTTTAAAAGGGCCTAATGCTCAAGGAAAGGGAGCCTGGTGGCACAGTGGTTAAACACTTGGCTGCTAACAAAAGGGTGACAGTTCAAACCCACCAGCTGCTCCGCAGGAGAAAGATGAGTCAGTCAGCTTCTGTAAAGACTGACAGCTTTGGAAACAGTGTGGGGCAGTCCCACTCTGTCCTCTAGGGGAGCTGTGAGTCAGACTTCCCTTGACCGTAGTGGGTTTGGTTTAATGCTCAAGACATTCTGTACTACATAAACTAACCTACTGTCTGGTTTACAGAAGACTTCAGGGGATATTTTTGGTTTAAGGTTTAAAGATTATTTCAGGGCAATAGTTTCGGGAGTCTATCCAGCCTCCATGGTTCTGGAAAGTCCGGGTTCCATGATAGTTTGAAATTATCCTTCATGTTTTTCCCCCTTTTGGTTGGAATCATTCTACAGAATCTTTGATCAGTAATGGTAACTGGGCACCATCCAGTTCTTTGGGTCTCGTTCCCCATCTTTTTGACAACCTAAGGCAGGTGTTATCCCCATTGTACATATAGGAAGACAGAGGCCCAGGAAGATCCACTTGCCTGGGGCCCCTCAGCTTGTGAGAACCACAGTTCAGGTGCACCTGTGGGCTGTCTGCCCTCAGCAGCCACGCTCCCCCCACCACACCCCAGTCTCTGCCTGTGCGATTTGGCTGAGGGCTGAGGGGAAGAATCAGGGTAAGGGGCATGAACACAGAGCTGGGCCACGATAAACAGAACCCAAAAGATGGCCGGAGGTGGCCTCTGTGTGAACAAAAGTGTGGCCCCAGATAGGTGTGGTTGGGGCCTGAGGACACCAAATGTCTTAGGCTAGGGGGTCATCATGGGAACTGGCACCAGCTTGGGCAGTCATTAATCCAGTCAACAAAAGAGCAGCATTTGGACAGAGTTGGACTTGGGCAAATCTGGCTACAATGGAAATGTCGGCCTCCTAACCAGCACAGGCATGGATCTACTCCAGAGAAGCAGGTAAGGGCCCTAATCACCAGCAAAAAACAGTCAGTGTTTAGCTCAAGTATCCTGGAGGCATTAACTCGTTTATAATGTTTTGTCGTTGACTCATGGTGACCCACACAACTAAACACTGCCTGGCCCTGGGCCAGCCCCACGATCCCTGCTGCACCTGAGCCCATCACCACAGCCACCATGTCATCCATCTCGTTGAGGGCCCTCCCCTTTCTCATTG